TATTACTTAACGTGCCATAACTACTGGAAATTTTCTTAATTAACCTTTCAAGATTCATAAGATTTTAAATAGAGCTAAAAATTTTTCCCCTACTTTTGTCTTTGCTTATTTTCACGAAATAGGAAAACAAGAAGTCAAATTTTTGTTGCTGTGCGTACAATGCAGTGGATGGAATCAAGAGTAGAAATAGGCTCCATTCATTTTCATTCATCCTGTCATTAACTGCTGTGATATCCCCATAACCCACCATTTGGCAGTGTCACACATGTTTTTTCTACTTCTTGGAATGTCTATCTTTGGTTCTTTTACCCCCTTCATCCCATCCTTCCATCTCCTTAGTCTTCATACCCTTTTACCATCCACCTCAGATTTATAGAGCCTTTCTACCAGTCTTTCAACTGCAACATCTCGGTACTACCTTATCATGTGCTCCACAACCACATAAAAATGTCAGCTCAACAAGTCCTCTATCCTCCCCCTACTTTGCTTGCTTTGACCCAGTTTTCTAACTGTAATGCACCTAGTACTGTACTGTACATTTCTTCTCTTTGTAACTCTGTGATTTATCAGCCATTGTTCATATGTATGGAAAATTATTTTTTCTTAAGTGTGTAAACCAAACTGTGAGCTTTATCTATTGTTTTTCATTGTTGCAATACAAAGGAATCAGCCAGGAATAGTTGTAAAGAATTTGTGTCCAGGTATAGTCAGAATTAATGTCAAGGAGGCAGCTGTAAGCAGTGCCTAGTGTTTTGCACGTTATTTAATGGTTTCAGCAGGGAAATAATAATAGCAATGTACAAAATTCATTCAGGTTAGAGAGATTTACATCTCCCCTAAACCAGATTTTTTTTTACTATATTCAGGGGTTACTTTGAAGGTACTGTATATAGTTGACATGACAACAGTGATTTTTTCCCAGAGATAATAATTACATGTGCTTCTTTTACTTGAGGAGGCTTAAAAAAACAAAACAAAAACATTGTGCCACATTAACCCCTGGGAATAACTCTTGAATGATCGTGGTACACATTTGGTGATCCTTTTCTTAAAGCCATGACCCACACTAACCTTTTGATATATGCTGGACACAGATTGGACTGGATTATTTATGCATGGAGGTAAACTTACCTAGTCAGGATCTGGGTTAAAATATGGCAGTTATAGGTATAATAATGCTTATATATTTATATAATGTGTGGTATAGTATATCTCTACTTAGTGATTAATATTTATGAACTGCTCTAATTTTGCATAAATTAACGTATGTTTAAGTATGAATTCCAACATGCCACTAATGACTTTTATGACCACAAATGGATTTTGTGGTAAATTTTTTACTCGAGGCCCTAATTATAGTGAAAATTTCTAATGAAAAAGCTGTTTTGATATATTTATAATAACTAGGGCCCGGATAGTTATGCACTAAAAAACCATGAAATATGCATGCAAATATGCACTAAAAACCAGGGGAAATATGCATTTATATGCACTAAAAATGTCACTTATAAAGCCAAGAATGCAGGTTATACGGAAACAAAATAGTTAATATAAACTAATGTTAATGTTTATTAAGCAATATACGTAATGTATTTAACATATATATGTGAAAGTGCTTCAAAAAATATATATGAACATGTATTTACATTATAGACTGACTTACTGGAACATGCAAGAAGTAGTTGTTGCTCTTTTTGTGCACTATTGGACTTAACAGCTTCGAGTCGGATGTGCTTGCTTGTTTTAAGGTGTTGTTGGACTTGAAATTTCTTGCTCGCTGTCACTGGTGCTTCACAATATTTACAAAACAGTACACTTCCATCAGTAGTAAATGCATCAAATTCCTTTACATATGATCTCAGCACTTCATTTTGGTTTCTTTGTACTTTCGGCATTTTCACGAGCAGCAGAAGAGAGTAGCTCCACACAGCAGCACTGCTCCTGACTGACTAACTCACTAGTCCAATGAGTCATGAACCAGGTGTGGAAACGACAGATTAAAGCGACGTGACCTCACCTCACTTCACCTAACCACACCTCACCTCACCTCCCAGTACCACGTGTGCTCATTCAGTGGCAACAAAGAGATACTGCCAGATGAATATTTTACCAAAATATGCATTTATATGCAGTTATCTAGGTAATATGCACTTATCATAGAAATCACGCAAAATATGCATTTGCATATGAAATATGCAAATGCATAACTATCCGGGCCCTAATAATAACATATATTTTTGCCGATTTAATGAAGACTGGTAATTGCAATGGTCACTCCCTCCCATGTACTGTAATATCAGTTGTTTAAAATATTTCATTTAAAGGAGTTGGGATTTTCACTATGCAATGAGTTAATTTCAAAAATATAGTCCTCTTGGACCACATCTTAAGTCTCCTCCGGTATAAATTATACCAATGATAATTTTTTACGAAGAACAGTTGGCACAGGGAGAGCAGACATTTTTTTTTTATCAAACTTATCACCTAGGTGTCCTCTTGCTGGAGACTGAAGATATTCAAAGTGGGAAGTTTTGAAATGTTGAAAGTTATATGATGTAGAAAAAAAATTTGGCAAGGATTGTCACTGAGCAGTGACATATTCTAAAATGTAAACATTGTTCTCAACATAATAAGGTTAGAGCTGTTCTGTATAAGTTATTATAGTGGAATATTGATGTTAAACTTTAGCATTAAATTATGAATGATGCAAAAGTCTGTTTTACAAGTGGTGTCAACAGAAAAAAAATGTATGATAATATAATTTATGTTGTTATTCCTTGAAATAATGCCAGGCATGATCTGAAACTTGTACAATATTAGTTTGAGAAAGAGTTAGTCACATTTAATTTAGATTATGTAGCATGTTGATATACCATTACAATTTGTGTATCACTACATAACTGTTGTATTTTGCTACATATTTGTACCAAAGTTTAAAGAAAATAAATCCCCAAAACACATTTTTTTTTTTTTTTCAATCAAATAAAATTATGTTGAGCTCTTCAGCCTCACAAAACTATTATGTTAATACTATTGAGGTGTCGGCAACCTAGTTTCATGCATCAAGACAGTAAAATGGATAAGGGACTGCTGCACTTGCACAAAAATTAATGCTTACCATTACTGCAGGAGAAGGATGAAGATAATTTAAGCTTGTGGTAGGTGTCAAAAGGTGATTGGGGACTCAATACAGTACAGTATACTGTATACAGTAACCACTTACAGCACCAACTTTAACTTTACCGGTGAATGCCTGGGAGATGTTCATGGAACCAGTGCATGAGAGAGAAGGATGCCAGAGTTAGCACTGGGAGGTTAATTTTCTACTAGTACTTTTGGGTCGACATACATAATTTTTATTTTTTACTCTATTACGTCACACACACACACACAGAATGTGCAAAAAATAAAAAGGTAAAAAAAAAAACGAGGAATTATTTTTTTACAAAGGAGGTAGTTAGCACTGCGTGCAATTATTTCAACTCAATTTCAGGTAGCCATAAGCAATTTTTTTTTTTTTATTGTTACATGCACACAACCTTTCATTCAGAATGTGCAAGAAAATTTTTAAATTATTATGTATATGGTCAAAAACAAAGTGAATAAATATTTTTGATGTGTGCCATAGTTAACACACTGAAAAAGGGAAGGGGGAACAGAGTGGGAGTAGTCTCTCCCATGAAAAAGCGACTCATAATGAATGTAAAAAACATGTACAGTCACCCAAAAAAGTCCTGTCACCTCTCATCCTGAACCATGAACCCCGAGATTCATACTCTTGAATCCAAAGCATTTATGGACAGAATAATGTATGTCTACTCCTTTGGGTTCACGAGTCTGAATCTCTGGGTACGTGGTTCAGGATGAGAGGCGACAGGATTTATTTGGGTGACTGTACATGGAATGAATTAGGAAAATTCAGATTGATGTCAGAAACTGGCCATTCACACGAGTGGAAAAAATGACTTGTCAAGATTTCTGCACGAGAACAGCTGTTCTGTTCGATCAGTGTCAATTGTTGCTAATCAGTTACTTTAGAGTACCAGAGTTAGCAAAGCAAAACAGCACTGGTCTGGTCAGTGCTTTAAAGACCAGGTACAGCACACTCGTAAAAATCTATGTGCTCAACTGACACCTAGCAGCTGCAGTCTTCCAACCCTCAACTTTTGTTGCCTACAGATCATTCAATGAGTACTAATTCAGCTTTATGGGAAAATGATGCTCATATGCCAAGAGAACCAATCAAATTCAGCCCAACTAGAAAGTGAGTCCCACTGGCATGACTACTGGTTTGAGACAAAGTGGATACAACACACCGTCTACTAATCATTTGGTTTATGAAGATCGTAGCTGTATTCCCTTCCCTTATTGGGAAGTTGGGTACCCATTTACAGTTGGGTAGATTAGGACTACTTTGGGATAAAACCAGTTACCTTCAAGACATGTGTGTGCTGTATTCACACAGCTGCCACACCTTTCACTTGGAAGCATGTGCCTCATAAAACAAAGAACTAAGCATCAGTAGGTACTCACCAGAACTAGTCTAGATATGAAGAAACTTTATTCTCATACTTTAAGATGTCTAACTGAGGATGAAGCTCCTCACTTCAATATAGATTTAATGGACATATTCTAAACAATAGTCAGAGGAAACAACAACTTTAAGACTGACGAGCTTTATCAGAGCAGTGGGGACTGAAGGGTTGTGATAACTTTAGTAAGACAAGTGTTATTTAATGAAGATTTAGACACATGACTTAGCCCCCTAGAAGGTGTTAATGAGATTGAGGAAAAAGACAGAAATGTGGTTAGGATGTTGATGAAAGAGTTGAAGGCAATTTATATAAGACCAGTCCCCTACTTAAAGTAACCCACATTCACATGTGTACCAAGGATGGCATAGCCCAACCAAAATAAAATTTGCTATTACTGCACTGAACAGCTAACAACAAAAACTTGGTTATAATTTTCTGGTGTTAGTTTTAAAATAAAACGGCACAACAATAACTTACTTTTATTTAAGTCTACCATTAAAATTTTTGAAGAATCTATTTTAAGGAAATGAAGCTATAGTACTGTTTTTACTTTATACTTTCCTGTACATATTTTCAGTCAAATCATGAAGTAAAAATGGTTTTTGTGTTACCATTAAAAAAGATATGACATTTATTTCTAGATCCACATCTATTTACACATATATTTAGCTGTTCACAAATGTACTGTCATTAATGTGAATGTTCAAATGGTTTGCCATAGGTCTTCTCCCACCATTCCACATACTCTTTCTTGCGCTGCTCTCGTCTGGCAAAATATTCAGGATATGCTGCCTTTTCCATTGGATGCCAATAGTCCAAGACCCAGTCAGGAGCATCCACCACACGTCCATGTGACACACCACCAGGAGATAGAGGGACTGTAAGAGAAATAATCTGTTTTTGCATTTCAATGATACAGGAGAGCAACCCAAATTGTTCAATTAAAATGATATGACAAATTTTGAACCTACAGGTCAGGTTAGATTAGGATAGGATGTTACATTAGGTTACAGTTAGGGTAGCTAGTCTTTAGGTGAAATAAGGTGAATGGAGATTCTTCAGGTGAGCCGTCACAATTCCAACACAGAAATTTGAATGTTAGAAAATTATGGGTTAAAACATTAAAAGAGTACTGGTGAACAAGAATTTTTTATTGGTTGTACAGTAATAGGCTAGGATAAAGTTTCTTGCAATCTTTCACCAAATCAATTAATCAACAAAACTTGTGGCTTCAGAAAAGTTATTAGCCAAGACTTGTCTAATTTTATTTTTACAGTATTTTTACCGAAGCATTGCTTGACCGATTTCTTTTGCGTTAATCAAGAGTACCGGCCTCATATTTGAGGGTTGGTGACCACAGTCCTCCACTCTGAACATTCTCATGCTGGTTTTTACAAATCCTCCAAGGTTTTCTATCTCTCTGGGGACCCAGTTTTTAATTTAATTCATCCACCCTCAACTTTGCCCATTAATAGCCAAGCTTAAAACTTGGGTTGGCATGATTAAAATGAAACTACCGTATTTAAATCAAGTGATTTTAATCAGAGAAAAATTCATTGGTTATACCATGTAATCAAAATTATTTTAATTTAAAATAAAGCAATCTAAAAAATTAAAGAGATATTTTACACTATTTTGTGTACTGTCCATTACTATTTATCATCTAAAAATCTATAACATACAGATACACAAAGTCACAACACATTTACTTTTTTGCCATTCTTTATGTTCATGTATGACTGATGAAGTTATTTTTGTACTCAGCCTGCTTTATTCATCATTACTACCTCACTAAATTAGATGCATTTAAGTGGTTACTAAGGCTCTACTAATGCTTGTTTTTAACATGACTGCTAGTTGGCAACTCTTCCCACAGCCATCACCCAGAGAGGAATATCAGCTGGGTAAATTTACTCGTTTTGCCATCATCATGTGTTCATGTATGACTTAGAAGATGTTACTTACATGCTCAGTCTGTATTATTCACCATTATTATTTGCCTCACTGAATTGTGTGTATTTAATTGGTTACTATGAACTTTACTAATGCCTTTGTCTTCTATAAGTTCTACTGTATCACCAATACTGTATGAACAAAATGTAATACTGTACAGTATTTATTTTACATAAATATAGAAGCATTTATTTCCTAATTCTGGAAATCTTAAGTATTATTTTCTTATTAATATATTATGTTCATACAGATGTAACTAATTTGGATTCAATGTGTTACAGTATTTCATAATCATGTTATATGTAGGTTTCTGGATCTCAGTACATTTTTTCAACAATGATGTTTATTATTTTCAAAAAGGTCATGTTGCTTTTATTCTATGAAAATTATTTTAAGTAACAGTATAGTTAAAATAAATTTTATTAAATTTCATTATTATATACAAATTCAATAAATTATAAGGTTTTCAATCAAGTGTACAATAATCTTTCATAAAGAAATTTGAGCCAAATTATATCCAATGTAAAAAAAAAAATTATTTTCATATAGTATGCATATTACATATATAAGATAAATGGCTTTGAACATATTACATAGAAAATGGCCGACATTATTGTATAAAAGAATGAAATATGAATACTGTACTGTAATTGGGTAAAGAAAATTCTTTTTTTTATTAAAAATTTGATTTTTTCCCAAACCTGATTTAAATATACAAAAACCAAGATAAGTAGACTCAAGCATTTAACATTAAAATACTGTACTATACTGTACCATACATGCAGAGACAAGATCACTTACATTGACGAGGCTGATAATGTTGAAGGCTAAAGAGCTCCTTTTCCCCTCCTTCTATTAGCTGTTGAGCTACTCGCATGTCCTTTACATCCTTGTTCTCATCAAATCTTGCTCTGAGCAGTACAGCACGGTATCGATACATAGGTCTGCAAGTAAATACAATACAGAGTAATGCACACGTACAGTATAGTACCTATGCTAATTACTGTATGCTGTAATATAAATTTACAGATCAAATGTTCTTTTGCATAAGATGGGTTAGAAAACATTTGGGAGCTACCAACTAAAATACTGTACAAGACAGTACCAAGGTTCTCAACTACTGGTACTGGGTATTAATGGCTACTAAGCTAATAAAGTTAATATGGAGTAAATACTGGTTACTCTATTTCTGTAACAACACTTCAAGCATAGACAATCTGGCCATTTAATATTTTTTTTTTGCCATCTGATTAATGGCACCTGTTTTTGTATTGACGATAATACAGTATAAATTTTGGTGATGATTTACAACTATCAGGTCTAAAGCCCTTTCACTCAAAATTCTCAGAAAAAATATAGCTTCTCTAGTTCCCTTTCTCTTTCTTTCTAAATCCATTTAGTTCCTCAGATAACTCACTTTTTATTGTAAAGTCTAAACTTTATTCTATTTAAAATTGTGTTGAATAAAACTTTGCAGGCATGGCTTAGGTTAGGAAGTTAGGTAAGTTTCTTTGGTTGGTTAAGTCAGGCTCTTAAGTACTTACCATAATGATAAGAACCTCTGTGGAAAAAATTAACGAAATCGAACAACTCCTTCTGGTTATAGTGCTGTTGTCAGACATTACCATTTATAGTGATAACCGTGTTCTTCATCTATAGTTTATACCAATTATAATTTATCGACGAAAATGCTACTTTTTTTTTTTTTTGCTAACTCCATATACAGAAATGAATTTACAGTTCCGTGGTTATCCTTTTCCGAATATTTAACATAGAGGTATCTTAACATGGACCCAAAGCCTACTGTTTGAGTGGTAAGCTAACAATTAACCATAAAGAGGTGTCGTCAGTAACAAACCGGACACCTTGCAGGAGCACATACCCTGAGACCTCCGGTATAGGATATCTATTATTATCTCGATCAGTCAGCATTACTCAGGAAACGCGTAATGCAACTAACTTACCGTCTATCATACCATGCTTCAAGATTTCTAAGCCCTCTTTTGTAGAGAGAACAAACTCTCCGAGTGTGGCTGATCACCTCCGTCTGCAGGAACGACATCTTGGAAGTGTTCGATCATCTACACATGGAATCATTCACTTCACATTTCCCCGGATATGTAACTTTAATAAAACTTGTGTCATTTAAATTCATTTAAAGAGTTATTTGATAGAATTCGGTTAATAATTATTTACTATCAAAATGAGTAATGGTGTTATTTTCCATCATTTGTGCATAACTTTACAATTATAACAACCGAACACAAGCTACCTAGCTGACGACTGTTACTGTACACCGAGTAAAGTTATATGGTGTTAGAGGTGACAATACCAATTAACAGTTTTAGTATTTATGCCTTGGAGGCGGCCAGTCATGTAGGAGATCCTGAGGTCAAAGAACAACTGGAACAAGTCAAGTCGTTGAGTCGTTGACGTTATAATGTTATTACAGGTACTGTACTCTTTCAACAACTAAGGACTTAGTGCTTAACAAGGTTAGTGATTACACTTTGTGATTAATAAACCAGTATTTTTATAGTAGTTCACACAACATTCCTCCCCAAATCGGTAAATTTTTACTTTAGGACATGAGTCTAGGGGTTGGCCAATATATTTTCCAGTGTATTTTGGCGTGTTTTAAACGAATCTGACCTTCATTTTTGTCGGAAATTGCTCCCCCTCCCCTCGCAATAATGGGAGAAAACCTGGGAAAACGGGATTTTTGGGTGGAGGAGAAAACGAGTCATCTAACCTAACCTAACCTAACCTAACCTTACCCTACCCTTAGCTGGGGGCTCCGGTATACGGACAAAACCTCAACGGAAAAAAAACCATGTGGACAAAACCCCAACCCATTATATGAAAAGTGGACAAAACCCCAGTCTCATATAAAATATAAAATAAAACACTTTTATTTTTGCAAACACACTTTATATATACATTTTATCTTTCACTCTCCACAATCCACAAAACCCTTTTACATTTGTAGGGAATTGACACTTACAATATATGCTCCACTTATGAAAATGGTGAACGGAAATAAAGTCACAGGAAAAAAGTGACATGACTTGTACACATTGACAACACATTATATATATGATGGCATTGCTCATAGGTTATGTTAAGTTAGGTTAGGTTAGGTTGGGTTTTTTTCTGTTGGGGTTTTGTCCACTTTTCATATAATGGAATTTTGTCCACTGGGGATTTTGTCCGTTGGGGTTTTGTCATGGATTCGGGGGCTTCGTCCCCGGACCTCTGGTAGGCCTAGCTTAAACTAACCTAACCTAACCGAAATGGGTTAATATAAAGCACTTACCCGCCGGGCTGCATAGAGCCGATGCGGCCATATCATCTCGCGTCCAGAAAATGCCTAAAATTTCACCATGTCATAGTAAGTTCTTTCTGTTTAATATACCGGGGAAGTTAGGTAAGGTTAGGTAGGTTTGTTTGGTTAGGTTTGTTCTTCATAACCACAAATGTTAAGTAGTATTTATTTTAAAAATCTCCTTTTTTTTAACATATTTCCACAAACTACAACAGTGTCCACTACAATATAACCATGAAAACCCGGCGTTTTTATAATTTTTTTCAATCAATTTCGCCCGAGGGTTAGTCCTATATAATTACCCCGAAATGTTTCAGTAGTTTAAAACTTTGGGGTGCGCCATGTCCGAAAGTATAATACCTTAGTTAGAAGTGGTAGGACCAGGGATGCTGTGAATGGCTTGTATGTGGTTTCTCCAGCTGAGATTGATAAGTTTATTGAGATACAAAGAAAAATTACATCTCAAAGGCATTAAGTGACATAAGTCATCCCCACCCCAGTCCAGGAATGTCCCTCTCAGGACTCACATAAATCCCTCATACAGATATTTATCATATAGTAATTGATTAAAGTACATAGTTATATTCTAGATGCAATATTTCTATATTTCTTTAATATTTCATCTACTTTCCATCTACTCTATTTGCTTGGAGACATTATTTATCTGGGCATTTCTATATACATTAAGCAATGGGCATTCCAGTATATAATGTGGCAGGGTATGGGATCTGGATGTTCTACAAACTCTTCATTCTTATCCTGTTAACTTCTCTCAGCTCCAAGTTCCCAGTAATATTTATATCCTAATCTTAACCTCATATACACTAAATCTTTCCACCTGCTCCAATCTTTCCCATATGTAAAATTTGTGTTCATGAGAACATGATGGTAATGTTTCATTGTTTCACTTTTCTCATATTCATTCCTTTTCAGATTATCTTCTATTGAATGTATTTTCTGCAATTTGCTCCTTAATTGTTTCAAAGTTTTAATACATATTATGTTGATCTCGGCCTTTTCTGTGGCTCTTTTTGCTATTATATCTACTGCTTCATTAAGACCAATCCCCACATGTGAAGGGACCCATACAAATTGAACACAATGGGCTTTTTTCATTATTGTATTTATTAATTTTCTACATGAACCAATAATGTATTCAAAGACTGGACTTCCGCTGTTCAAAGAATCCAAAGCTGCCTTACTATCAACCAAAAATATGCATCTTTATTCCTCTTTATAACATTTTCCAATCCTAGTAACATTGCATATAACTCAGCTTGTGTTGATGATATAAAATTGCTCAGCCGGAGTCCAATTTTGGTGTCATCAGTACCTTGTTCTGTGTACTGTCTTATAAGGATTCCACACCCTGCACTGCCACTTGACACAACTGAACCATCACAATATACATGCAAGGTGTTTATTTTAGGCAAATTACAAATCTTATTCCCATATAAAGCCCTTAATTGTCCTGGTTCATGTAATGATTTCTTCATTGTGAGAGGCACAATGTGTAACTCTACTTCTTGCTCTTCCCAGGGTGGATCCTTACAACTTTTCTCAACAGCTGTACACCAGTCTCTCAGATTACATTTTTTAATAATATTCACTAATCCATTCATGTATCCTCTCTTGCCTTGCCTGCAGAAGGTCGTTTTATTTTTTAAGCCATCATTTATATCTTGTACAAATTTACCCCCACTATTCCCTTTCATTAATCGAACTGCTGCAACTGTATTAATTTCATTGACCCTGTGTGAAGTGTTCTGTAACCCTAGCTCCATTTTTATTATCTCAATCATTGCATTCTTTTGACATCCTAAAATTATTCATATTGCTACATTTTGCATGATCTCAAGCTTCTGTAGCCTTCCTTCACCAGTACAAGAGAGGACAGGTGCTGCATAGTCTTTAAGTGATGTTATGGTAGAAATATACATCATTCTCAGTATGGGTACCCCAGCTCCTTTACCACAACAAGCTAGAGCCTTCAAGGGCTATAATCTTGCTCTACATTGAGTGAGGACATGATATATTTCTGCCTCTTTACTCTCACTAGTAAAGCCAATAGTATGCATTCCTAAATATTTATATTTTGACACTTTCTCAATAATTTTTCCATTTAGAAAAAGAGATTCAGTTCCTCTTCCTTTATATTCACTCTTGGTTTTTTCTTCATTGATAACTAAGCCCATCTTTTGAGAAAGAACACTGACATTATCTAAAGCAATTTGCAAATTTTTGACAGAGTTTCCTTGAAATAAGATGTCATCTGCATAAATGATGATTGCAACTCCTTTAAGATATTTTTGCGAGGCTATCTTGTTCATTAACACATTAAATAACTTTGGACTCAATCCTCCTCCTTGGGGGGGTGCCAAGTTCAAGTGCTCTTTCCTCAAACAAACATCCCTGATACCATACACAGGCTCTCTTTCCATGCAAGTAGTCACCTATCCAGTGTAACAACTTTCCTGATACCCCTAGAGCAGCCAGTTCATTCATAACTACTTCACTGTGAGCTTTATCAAATGCTCCTTGTAAATCCACAAAAACTCTACATCTGTCTGCATCATTTGATAAACATTTTATAACACAGTCTGAAGTACCTTTCCCTTTCAAAAAAAAAATAATAAATAAATTGCAAGATAGATTAACCCCCACAATATATACCGTAGAAGCCTGTTTAATAATACTCACTCCATCATCTTGGAAAAACAAGATGTTAAAGACACTGGCCTGTATCCACCGGTTGCATTAAGGACAGGAATAACTATCGCTTTCTTCCATTCTGTTGGTTGGTAATCTACCCTCTGTATAGCTCATATTGAATAAATCTAATAATGGACTATTTTCCATACCAACTAAGCAGTTCAAAATTTCATAAGTCACACCATCTTCACCTGGTGCTGTAGATTTTCCTGTTATAACAGCATTTAACAACTCATCTTGAGTAATATCTACACATGTCACATCACAAATATTTAGAGCTGATGAAATAAATCTTCTTTCATTTTGCCACTCATCTACTGCTTCTATTGTCCTGTTAGTCAGGGAGGCAACACTAGCGGCTTTAGCCCATTTGTCTACCAGTTTATTAGCTTCTTCCTCTGGATGAGGATGACTAATAAAATTACTTTTTTCCTCTAATTTCGTTAATATCCTGCCATATTTCTTTGAGAATTTTACTCTCCCCCCAATGTGCTGTGCAAAGTCTTGCCAATATTTCTCCCTTGCCTCCTTCCTTGCCTACTCACATATTTTGACTATATCCATGAAAATTTCCCTATCTTCTTCTCTTCTACCATTCTTTACCCACTCTTTATGTGCTGTCCTTAACATCTGTGTCTATCCCTTCAACATTTTGTCATTAGTATAGCAGTGTTTCCTAGTCCCATATCTCTTATCATTTATCTTTGTCTGTGTTGATTTAGTTAAATATCTTTCAATCTCACCAACGAAATCATTATAAAAGCTATCCATACAGACTGGTGTATAATTTCTGTACCATTTCCTTATGTTTTGGGTAAACACTTCTGTGTCATCCTTGTTTAGCTTCAACCACTTCCTCCTATATCTCACCTGTCTCTTCCCTAATGGTAATTGAACATACACAACAAAATGATCACTGACTAGCTCCCCTATTATCTCACATTCTCCCTGGACTCCCTGACTGCTTATCATGCAAGCATAGTCTAACCTTCCAACTTTAATATGAGTTACTTCCTTATTTCCTAACAAGTATGCATCTGGGTGATCTTGTAAAAATTGCAAAAGTTTTATACCGTTACTATTAACTCTCCCCATTGTTTCCAGTCTTGGATGTCGAGCATTAAAATCTCCTAAAGCCAAAGTTGAGTCCAAAAACATGCAATCTGGTAAGAAGTTGAGGTCAAAATAGCCTCCAGAAATATACAAATTTGCTATGTTCAATTCTCCTTCCTTCAAATATATCTTTATACAGACAGTTTCTATTCCTTGTACTCTACTCGGGTTTCCAACTACAGTAGTTCTGCTGAATTTTTCAAAACCTTGGACTCTTCACTTTCCTCTTTTCCTTCTAATTCTACATAATTCACAGCTTTGTTTTCCTGTTCTTTATTTATCACTGCATCAAGTCTTTTCTCAATCATTTCTATTTTCTTTCCTAAATTTTGCAAAAGCTGAAACATCTTACGCACCTCTTCTACCAGAATTTCCTGCACAGTTTTATCACTAACCTGGAGGGCTGCACCACTACTCTCACCTGCTACTTGTTTATTACTCTGGTTCTTCCTGGCATCAACAACTCTTCCAGCCACAAGCACTGTCTTTATCCTTCTTGAATCTTCATGCCAGGCATTTCTTGGGATCACTGTCTCCACTGTCTGTGTATTTTCCTGCTGTCTTGTCACTGGCATACCACTTCAGCGTTCTCTGAATAATTCCTTTTTTGGTCATTTCTCAGATGTGGCCTCATCTCACATGCAATTGAACTAGCATTGTGAGTTTTACCACAATTACAATAACAAGGCTTCACTTTCTCTCCTGCTTTGATCTTGTCCTTACAGTTGCTAGATTCGTGCCTCTTCCCTCAGAATCTACAACGTGCGTCCAATTGACAGCTCCAGGCCTTGTGTTCCCATCTGCAACACTTGAGACACATTACTGGTTTCTCCACATACAGTGCCACCTTCCTGTACTCTGCTCCCGTGATGAACACTTTGAATGAACCATTCCTCTCATTAGGGCAATAACCTGGCCTCTCTCTTCACTCCTTATCAAATGCCTCTTGACCCAAACAAATCTCTCGTCATTCAATAAGAATTCTGGATCCAGTATTACAGGGTACCTGAAGATTATAACCTTTGTAAGTATGTCTCTCTCCGCTGGCAAAACCATCAATAATCCCTTGTACCAACAGTCATTAACATTTCCACAGCCTCCATGGTCCCCACTGTAAGATAAGGCTTGTGTGTTCCTTCTTTCAAAAGAGACTCAAAGCTGCGATACTCCCGTCCTAGTTGTACTGCCCATTTTTATTTTTCAAGGGAGGTCATCATGCATGACTGCAGAAAAATCAATCTCTTCCTGACACGACCAACTTTACCTTGTGTGTGTTCTTGTCTACTTCCTTCAAATTCCATAATTTGCTCTGTTCTTGATCCATCTTCCACTATCTCCTTTCTGTCATTTCCATTATTATTACCGCTCACACACATTTCTTGCCCTAGATTTTTTTTGTCTCTTCTCCTCTCTCCCTCTTCTTCACTTTCACTTTCCTCCTCTTGCCAGCTTGTCTCCCTCATCCTTTTAGAAATTCCTTTCTTGTTCACTACCTCTTGTAGCTGTATTACCTCGCTTTGTAACTTCTCTTGTGTTTCATCATTCGCATTCGACTCATCACTACTCAACTCAAGGTCTTCAATAACTCCTTCCAATACTTTCTTCTCTTTACCCTTCCATGTAAATTTCTTAAGCAATAATTCACTTTCCATGGGGCAATGTTGACATCCCACAACACCCAGCCACGAGTGATGGGACCCCGAGCAGTTATTTTCATGTGGTAAACAGTAAGTTCCCAACACCAAAGCTGTTTGATGGTACTTATCTTATCCCTACGTCCTTATACACATGTAGGTAAATCTATATATCCTTCAGATAATGAAATTGGCTTCAAACATCCCAAATTTGGGAACTAGCACTCACAGCTGTGTTTACCAGTGCCCATTTTCTGGTGATGTCCAGCTAAGTTTCTCAGCAATAACCCCAAGGAATTTAACATTTTGTTCACGTTTGAGGACTGTATTACTAAGGTACAGGGGGTCCAAATCTGGGAGTAGGTTTCTCCTATGAAAGAGTGTGTAGTGTTTTTTTTTTCGAGATTTAAGGTCAGTTTATTATGTGTTACCCAGGTTCTGACTTAAGTCAATTCAGTGCTCAAAGTTCTCATCAAGGAATAGAGATCTGAGTTGCTAGCATAGAGGTTACTATCGTCTGCAAATAAGCTGTATTTGACGAGTGTGCTGAAGTGGACTACATACAGCTCCTCCCCGACTTATGACCTACTCGACTTACGACCAACCGCACTTACGACCTGCCTCAGTCGTATCAAAATTTGGTTAAATTACATATTTTCGAGTCCCAAAGTCAGTACACAGATAAAATTTTTGTTTATAATTCACTTTAAAATGGCTGGCAAGCTTAAAAGTGAGTGTTTTGTGGTGCTGAGAAGAAAAAGAGACACCCATTTTAGATTTTCTATACTATATTATTTAAGCATTTCCAACTTACGACCTGAATTTGGGTCCCTAACCCCGTCATAAGTCAGGGAGGAGCTTTATATTGTTTATTGTGATCAAAGACTGCAGCTGGTACATTGATACCAAGCAGAATTGTAAAGTAACAAAATAAATTACTTGAGTACTGTCCTCAGGTAACATTTTTGGGTATCTACTTTTTAAAGAAGGATTAAAATTTTTAGTACTTTTACTTTTACTTAAGTATGATTTTCTAATACTTTTCTCCATTACAATTCAAAAAACAAATCATTACTTGTTACATGCCCCAAACAAACAAACAAACAAAGAGTTTTAATGTCTGTGGCAAACTAATACAGGGTAATATATTTTCAGTGAATTAATTAATTAATTATTAACCATAGTAAAAGAGTTGTGTGGGTGGAGGGTATGGTGTGAGTGGAGCCATGAAGGGTACGGTGTGGGGAGACAACAAGCAGTCACATTCCTTGAGGTCTCGTGAGGTAAGGAGAAGTCAGAGTCAGGTCAGGTCAGGTCAGGTGGCAGTGGCCATAACAGTGGACTTTTACCTTTGATCTTCATGTGTCCATTATTACCTTGACCACCCACCTCACCTAGCCTACCCTCTTATCCCTCCCTCACCCATCAAATCACCTATCTTATCCGCCACCTTTCCATTAGACGTCAGTTGCTCTTTGCATCTATCTACTGTACAGCACCTGTACCTACAATGAATTTCAAAGAGGCTAGATGTTATGTGGCTTGCTGTGATTTCCTAATTTTGGGGTTTATTTATTGCAGAAGAAGGATAATAATACAATTAAAAGTAGTAACAGTAAATAATGCTGAAGTTACAGTTTATTGATCCAAAGTTAATCGGGTACAGCTTAGTCGGCACAAAAGTTAGTCTTCTGCAAATTTCGTTGACTTTCTTGTCGTTGTATTGGGCAGCTCCTGATAGTGTACAGCACCATTATTTACATACTGTATATACCTTCCTTTACTGTATCATTGAATTCTGCCCAAGACTGCTGCCATGGATATTTTTTGTAGTCGTTAGCTGCGTGTTTTACTTACTGTTTGTTCTGGTGATAATCTTTGATAGCTAGAGCAATTCTCTGAATTCCCTGTCGAGGTAAAGGTGTGAAAAAATCTTATTAGGGAGTTGCAAGAAATATACAGCCAATTGTTTTTTAAATTAACTTTACATGTAGATGTGATACTATGGAGATAGATCACTATCCTCATACTGCCATCCAATCACTTTAACCTCAAATGTAGGAAACTTGCTGGAAGCAATAGTTTCAAACTCAATTCGAAATCAACTCAAGAATCACAAGTTGATCAATGAATCTCAGCATGGCTGCACAATTGGGCATTCATGTCTCGCAAATTTATTATCATTTTTTTCAACTATTTCGAATCAGTTGATGGTAGACACAATTATGATAGGGTTTACCTAGACTTTAGCAAAGCCTTCGACAGGGTCCCCCACGAAAGATTTACCGTATGGGTTAAGTGGAGGATCATGGAATTGGAGGGGATATTCTAAATGGGATTAGGGCATGGTTAAAGGATAGGAAACAGAGAGTCAGCATTAATGACACTATACAGTGGTCCCTCGGTTAACGAACACAATTCATTCCACAGAGTCGTTCGTTAACTGAAAATTTTGTTAACCGAATCCATTGTTTCAATGGGATATTGGGTAATCGGTTCCAGCTCACCAAAAAGTACATACAGAGTAAAAAAAAAAAATGCAGTGAAGTACACTTACTTTGAGGTGTGTATGTAGAAGTTTCCTGGTTGATGATGATGATGGGAATTAGAAGAAGGGGTGGAGGAGAAGAGAAAGAAGTGGGGGTGGAGGAGAAATCACCTTTCAGGGGACACATGCGTGATGCAGTAAATTCACCAATAAAATTTTAAGTTCACTGTGTGTAATTCAAGATTATTTTATTTAAATCAACACTACACTGCACTGCACTATATATTATCAATATGTTAACTAAATTTCAGAATGACCAATAATTTTAATGTAAAAATGCAAAAATACCCGTATTCAAGACACCAACAAAATAGATGTTCACTCCACTGTCAACAAAGCCCAACTGACGCCTGGTGGGTGAGTCAAGCGGCTGATGAGCGCACAAAAAACTAGTTCCCTGTATTGCATATACTGGTACTCTCCAACTTACGATGGGGTTAGGGACCGACATCCAGGTCGCAAGTCGAAATGGTTGTAAGTCGGAAATGCTTAAATAACACATAGAAAATCGAAAATTTGGGCCCCTTTTTCTTTTCAGCACCACAAAACACTCACTTTTAAGCCTGCCAGCCATTTTAAAGTGAATTACAGATGAAAATTTTGTGTGTGTACTGACTTTGGGACTCAAAAATACATAATTTGACCACATTTGGTACGACTGAGGCAGGTCATAAGTGCGGGTGGACGTAAGTCGAGTAGGTCAGGGAGTACCTGTATTATCAATATGTTAACTAAATCTTAAAATGACTAATAATTTTAATATAAAAAATGCAAAAATATTAAAGAGCACAACTTTCTTGATATTTACTCCACTGGAAACGAATGTAAACATAGAACAGATTACTACTGTACTGAATTGGCAGACTAGCCCATCAGCTGATCAGCTGATGCTCACAACAAAACATGTTGTTCGTAAGGATTTCGTTAATAAAATTTTTGTTCGTTAACTAAATTGAAGATCCTTATGAGAGGTATTCGTTAACCGAAATTTCGTTAATCGAACTGTTCGTTAACCGAGGGACCACTGTATGTGATTGGTGTAATGTCACTAGTGGAGTACCTCAAGGTTCAGTACTTGGACTATAGTATTACTGTTTATTTTATACTTAAACAACTTAGATACTATATAGGCATAGACAGCAACATTAAATTTGATGACTCTAAAATAGGGCATGTAATTAGATATGCCGAGGACTCCAAAAAATTACAGGAAGATCTAAACAAACTTTTCTCGTGGTCTGAAAAATGGCAAATGAAACTTAACGTGGAAAAATGTAAAGTACTTAGCCTAAGAGATGTAAATAAGGAAACCAGATATCAGAGGAACATCAGTTTTGTAACTTAACTGGTGATAAATGATCACATCTAGCTAAGGTAGAGGCTTAGTGTAATTTTGATGTTACTTCTGGATGTTATTTTGAGACTTAATTCCATCAGCATGATTACATCTACATTTGTGAGGAGTTTTCATCTTGGACTCGGTTTAATTTAGCAAACTATTGTCACTACATTCATAATATTTTTATGTGATGTCATTATTCATGTCAGAGTAACTTTTTTACCTTAAGTACAGCTTAGTCAAAATGAGCCTAGTAGGTCAACTTACCACTTCCATTTTCTCCTTGGAGACAAAGGAGAAGGAGAGCCTCATATATGGGCAAGGCTTGTTTTCATCTGTCATGAATGTACATCCAGGAACTGCAGACACCTTCCTCACTCTTCCTTCATTATGTAGCAATTTGTCTGCATCTGTGATGCCCTTAACCTAGAATGTTATGTAGTATACACACTTTAAGATGAAAACATAATAACGAGGAAAGTTTATGTTTACGTGTTAATAATAGAATTTTTCAAACATGTTCAAGCATTGATATATTCAATGCTGCATCATCTTTAGGGTCAGTGTCGATATTATATAGCACACTGAAGACTTGGTACACAAGAAGGCAGTTTCGACGACCCTACTTACTACTCCCTTTCACTCCCTCAACTGTACTACTCATTTTGCAGCTGGTTTGACAGGGATGCCTAAGGGTACGGCCACACCAGCATCCATTTTGTCTGAAACATACGATCGACAAGAAATTAAGCACAGAGTTCCATCTGTCGTAGTGCGGCTGCACTAATAGAATCGGAATCCTGTGCTTCATTTCTTCTTGTCAATCGCATGTTTCAGGAAAAATGTACAGAGTATGTTAGTGTGGTTCGTACCCTTAGGTAGTGGCTGGCATGGGACTTGAAACTGCAACTTTAACAGTACCTGTACAATATTACATCCACCAGGCCACCTGAAGCATATTTTGAAGATACCTGTTGAAACATTACTTCGGTAAATGGGTTAAGATTGTCTCAGAGGCTGTGTAGTATACAGGTACTACTCACCTTCAGCCACAAGAACATTCCACCACTTGGCACAGACCACTCGCACAAATCTGCCAATCCAAGGAACATATACCATATAATTATACTGTACTTATTGTAGTGTACTTATATATTATAGTCTACTTATAATTTTTGTCTATATATTAATTATTTTTTATATACAGTACTGTAATTTCAAAGAAAAAGTTGTTGCCTCTGTCAAAATACAGACAGTAGCACATGTATAAATGTGAGCTAATTACAGTACTGTACTGTACATGTATTGATTATATAATCTACATAAGCCAAATTAATTAGGTAAAGGGCAATGGAGCAGAGCTCCTCATGTCTTGTCACGTAGCAAATGACTTTCAGAAGTCCTCTGTGCATCAGCTACCTGCTGACTTAACATGTCACCGGTGAGGAAGTTAGTCAAAGACTATACAGTAATGTATATCTGATATGTTTTTTTTTGGGGGTTAGCCCACCGGGACACAGGTCAATTAACCACATCAGGGCCTGGGGGTAAAAATATTATAATAATAATAATATTAATAATAATAATAATAATTATTATTATTATTATAAGCTACCATAAATAAAAAAGAAAAGAAAAAAGAAAGATCAATAGTGAGAAATGATCTACCTGTACTGTATGTATGTATGTTGTGTTGTCAAGGTAAGAGAAACAATTGAGACCCTGCAATTGTGTGTAAATGAGGCAGAAAGTCAGATCAGCAACCTGGGATTTGACCAGAATTTTTGTGATGCCATTTGACAGCAGGGTCTACCATTAGACAACACATTATGCTTCTAATATCTTCCCAGGCAGTAGTACTTCCCTGTTTGATAGCTGCCTACTACCTACTGCCTGTAATATCTGACATGGTGAACATGCCATCAACGGAGCTCTATCTTTAGTCTCCTATAAATAGTGTTTATATGAATACCAAATAACCTGAACTAACACAAACAGATTGTATAAGTAACTAGTTAGCTGAAACTACTGTACAACACAAGTTACTAATATAACATTGGTGAAGCTAACAGAGAACTTACAAACCTTCATTCTAATTACAAGTGTGACAGTGGTGAACATATCATACAAGTTACAAGTTTCCACCACAACTCTACATAAAAGGTGGCAGCTAGTGACATACGTACAATTACCAGTGACTGGATATTAAATAATCTACAAATGAATGTTTTTATAGAAATAAAACCCGTACTAATTTCCTAGTTATCAAAGCACAATTCTCAGTGTATTGTGAGAGAAAAACATATGCACTTAATTTGTACAAGTCATATTCCAAAGAACAAGTAAAGTGATAAAATAATAATCAGGGCTGTGGAGTCGAAGACAAAACCTCCGACTCCGACTCCTCAAATTTTTATGCTTCCGACTCCGACTCCGACTCCTTGGCCTATTTGTAACAACTATTTCTACCATCCTAATTGTAATTTGTATGTTGTAACCTGCGTAGGTAAAAAGTAAAACACCGTGGCTATACTGCTACAGCTTTATTAATGATCTGGACGATATTTAAGAACTACAAAAAGATGATAGGCTTGACTTTCAAAGTTTCAATCAAAAGAAAAATAAATTTATTAAGAATTCAAGATATTAACTAGAAAACACCATTTACATGTATATCTAAAAGTTCGATCTCAGCATATGAATTTTGTTTAAGCTCATAATCTGATGTGAATCTAAATGATGATCCTACAATTCCTTTTAAAGTAAAGTTATATATTTATGTACATTAAAGAAATGAATACCTTATTAAGGAAAATGGATAAACCTTACATGATTAAGTTATTAAATTAAATTTGCCTTAATCTCACCAAAAACAGGTTGTAGCTAATTGTTTTGTAGCTGAGAGCCTCTGTGCAGTTTTCAACGAAACAAAATTTGATATAATTCAAAATTTCAAATGGTAAAGAAGAGACTATCATCCAAAATTATAGTGCTATACTGTGCCTGCTACAATAAATTCATAATAATGCTTATAAAATGGAAATAAATTCTTTTAATAATTTAAGAAAATTAGTGGGATCAGTGGAATCACTGCAATGAATATGCCTGAGTTCATATATTTGTTCTTAGGAACAGAATAGCTTCAGTCAGATCTTCCTTCATGGAAGCCCTTAAATCTGATCTGATTATTTTCAGTGCAGAAAACAGTCTTTCTACACTGACCTGAGTGGGTGGCATTGCTGTCACAGCTCTAGCTACATCTTTTACAATCTCTGGGTAAGCAGGTATGGCTTCTTCCACTGTCACTTTTGAAGACCGGTCAAATTTCTTCACTTCCATCAGTGCACCAAAGAAATCTTGCTGAAATCTCGTATTTTTAATGTCTACCGCTGCTGCGTTTTCACTCCGATGTCGCTTTACCTTTGCTTGTTCTATTGTGTCCAAGTAGGAATCAAAGTCTATTTCCTTGTTTGAAGATGCTGAATCTGAATCTGAGCTACTTGACTTGTCAATGTTTCTAACTTGTTCAGGTTCATGAATTTCAGTTTGTGACTTCATTTCTTTTATGCGTACTGCTATTTCATATAGTGCCTCTTTTCCTTTACTAGTTCGATCATTGTCCAACAAAATTCTATTCATGGGATCAAGGTAAACAGCAGCTAACAAGATTTTGTTATCCAGCAATACATTCTCTCTTCTTTTCATTGAAGATACAATGCCCTCAGCGATTAATCCTCCACTTTTGTTCAACTGGTATAGCAACCTTTTCCACTCCAATAAAAATGTACCAGGTGTTAGATCCTCAGCTTGCAGTTTCTTGGTAGCAGCAAAAGGGTGACAGAGCAGACTTTCTAACTGTGTCACCTGGTTCCACTGGCTTTCAGTTAGTGAAACACGTTCATTATTGAGGTCTTCAAGATAGCCTCTTAGTTCGAGGAGTCGGAGTCGGAGTCTGGACAATTTTACCGACTCCGACTCCGACTCCACAAGCCGAAATTTCCTCCGACTCCTCGACTCCGACTCCGACTCCACAGCCCTGATAATAATCACTTATTACAAGTGGCAACACCGTGACCACACCCTATGTGCAGTTACCAGGACAGCTAGCCCAGGTGGTTACATGCAACCCAACAAAAACTCCCTCCTTGGAAACAAGATTGTTGTGACACATGCATCAACAGTCCTCATCACCAGCCCTCCGAACATGTGACTTAGCTATACCTAGGTCACACTCACACTCGGGGTATCATGAACCAGCACACTCAGCTGATCTTAGTTGATCTGAGGAGACACACACACACACCTTCCCAACAGGAGGAGCAACAGTGATGTCATCAACAATGTCATCCCAGTCGCCATCTTGGAAGTGTCATCTATCATCAACCTTGACTGTCAACCAGTGGACCAGCTAGCTGATGGAACAGACGTATACATCACAAGAATCTATGGGCGACAACCAGAACTTCAACCAAATCTACAAGCTAGCCTGGCAGACATGTTATTATTCTCCTCGAGCGCTTTAGTGCAGTGTCCTTTGCGATTCAAATTTTTTCAAGCTCTGGTTGTCAACATGAAAACTCCCATTGATGGAAAGGGCATTAAAATTACAGTTGAGACTCACCCTTTAGGTACTTGTTGGCGGCAGCGACCATGTCATCCTCTCTTGCTGCGGTAGAAGAGCTGCAAGTAGGAGCGTGCGTGAGATGAACTCATCTTCTCCCCAGCGCTCCAGCAGCTCATTGATCACCACCTGAAATGATGATATAGTATTTACACTCTGTAAAATTTATAGTACAGGTACAGTGGTCCCTCGGTTAACGAACACAATTCGTTCCACAGAGTCGTTCGTTAACCGAAAACTTCATAACCTAATCCATTGTTTCAATGGGATATTGGGTAATTGGTTCCAGCTCACAGAAAAGTACATACAAAGTAAAAAAATAATGCAGTAAAGTACACTTACTTTGAGGTGTGTATGTAGAAGGTTCCTGGTTGATGATGATGATGATGATGATGATGATGATGGAAATTAGAAGTGGGGGTGGAGGAGAAGGGAGAAGAGAAGGAAGTGGGGATGGAGGAGAAATCACCTTTCAGGGGACCCAAGCTTGATGCAGTAATTTCACCAATAAAATTTTAAGTTCACTAGGTGTAATTCAAGATTATTTTCTTTAAATCAACACTGCACTGCACAATATACTATCAATATGTTAACTAAATTTCAGAATGACTTATAATTTTAATGCAAAAATGCAAAAATATTCAAGATACCAACAAAATCAATGTTCACTCCACTGTAAACAAAGCCAAACTGACGCCTGGTGGGTGAGTCGCTTGATGGGCGACAAAAACTAGTTCCCTGTACAGTACTGCATATATTCTCAATATGTTAACTAAATGTTAAAATTACTAATAATTTTAATAAAAAAAATGCAAAAATATTAAAGGGCACAACTTTCTTGATATTTACTCCACTGGAAACGAATGTAAACATAGAACAGATTACTGAATTGGCAGACTAGCCCATCAGCTGATCAGCTGATGCTCACAACAATACGTGTTTGTCGTAAGGATTTCGTTAATCGAAGTTTTGTTCGTTAACCGAATTGAAGATCCTTATGGGAGGTAATTCGTTAACTGAAATTTCGTTAATCGAACCGTTTGTTAACCAAGGGACCACTGTATAGTGATAGAATCCCCCCTCCCCCCAGTCCAATCTGGACCGGGTTAGGTATGGTGTGATTAGAATTCATGGGAAAATGATTTCAGCCAGTTTGGTAAAATACTTTACGTTGATTGAGATAACTACTGTACAGTAGTAGCATTATGCTGAAGTAAGCAAGAGAAATATTATTGTCTTGGGTATCATTTTAGTGCTAGCAAATTACTACCATACCTGTGACAAACCAGAGGTATGCATGATGGACACGTGTAGGTGATATAGGATTTTCCTAACAAGAGGCTCGGGTCCAGTGACATAACCAACACGTAGCCCGCCACCTATCGTCTTGGAGAAGGAATCGAACCTGAGAACACGGCCATCTGTGTCCATACTGAGGTAACTGGCCGGAAGTGCCTGAAACATACCAAATATTAGTAGTACTACCAGGTCAGGGAGGTCAAATGAATTACATGATTCTAGTCATCTAGTGGATTCATGTTAAAATTTGAAATAAATCCAAGGAAACTATTACAGTACGCCCGGATGATTCGTGATTCCTATTTCACGTTCCTCTATTATTTGCGGATGACACCCTGGATGTACCCAAGAATGTTCTCGGGTAGTTTTAAAGTTACCGGCATTTTCAGCAAGGGAACGAGACATTCGTTCTAGAGACATTAATTTCCTTTACTTGTATTGTATATGTGTGTGTGTGTGTGTAGACACACACAAAACACGTACAAGTACTAATAATAATGGAAAATTCATCTCCCAAATAATCAGAAAAAACGATGTAGTATAAAAAATGTTGAGTCTACTCCGTCTACTCTGTGCTTTGTTGTTAATAAAGCACGGAGTAGACTTGAGAGTAAACTCTACATTTTAATACAGTTGTTTCTGATTATTTATGAGAGTATTTTCCCATTAATAGTTATTTGTATTTGTTGTGTGTGTGTGTGTGTGGGTGTGTCTACACACACACACAAATACTACTACTACTTTGCTGTCACTCAGGATCGAGTATGATGATCATCCAGCTTTGATACAATGATATGAGATATTACGGATGTCATCTAGGTTGGTGAGTTTTAAGGTGACTAAAGCGGCCGATACGGGACCGACAGTGCCGTTCACAGATGTTACACATGTGGATGGCTCCATCTAGTGTGGGGAGGGCGGCAGCAGTGTCTTTCTGGTGCTGGCGCTTGTCTACCTCGGTTTGCAGTCGGGCTAATTCGAAAGTATTGACACCTCGTGGTGATCCTTCAAGCATTGCAGTGTGGAGTGATTGTCTCCCAGGTGAGGGAGTCAGCTTGGCACTTTTTCAGGTTTGTCTTAAGACTATCCTAATACCTTTTCAGTTGCCCGCCAGCTGTGTGTTTACTATTCGTTAGATGACTGTAAAGTAGCTGCTTTGGCACTCTACTCTCGTCCATGCGGGTAACATGGCCAGTCCAACGTAGTTGTTCTCTTGTCTTCCCAGTGAACTCGGAGGATGGAACATAGACTGCGCGCAGGAAAGTTTTCAAGTGCCTTGATGTGCCTCCTGTATGTAACCCATGTCTCACTGCCATAAAGCAGAGTTGGGAGGACCACTGCTCAATATACGTGCAACTTTGTAGATAATTTCAGCTCCCTCCAGCTGAAGACACGGGTATGGAGTCTGCCAAAGGCTTGAGATGCACATCTGATCTGATGTTGAATCTCTTCATTAATGTCCGCAGTGGTGGACTGGTGGGAACCGAGATACTGAAAGTGGGTAACATTAGAGAGAGTAGTACCATTAAGCTGGATGGATGGTGGAGGTGTGGCTGAACCAGGGGCAGGCTGAAAGAGAATCCGAGTCTTACGCATGTTCACCTCAAGGCCAAATGTGCATACACATCTGCATAGGTGTTTGGGATCTCCTGTAGGTTGCGTTCAGTGTGAGCGACAAGGGTGAGGTCGTCTGCATATTGAAGTTCAGCAATGGAAGCTGCCGACACCTTTGTTCCTGTCTGGAGTCGTCTTATTTTGAAAAGATCCTTCATCTGGTACTCTATGTCTACATGTCCACCCCACCGGCTAAATTGGCACTAGCATGAGTAAGGAAGGCAGCCAAGAAAATGGAAAAGAGAGTTGGTGCCAGTACACACCCTTGTTTTACCCCTGTTTGGTTGGGGAAGAACTCAGACTCGGTGCCATTGTGTAGGACACTGCAGCTCATGCCGTCGTGGAGTTGCCTCACAATGGCAATGAGTTTTGTTGGGCAGCCAAACCGGTTGAGGGCCTGCCAGAGGGCTTCCCTGTTGACCGAGTTGAAGGCCTTGGTTAGGTCGATGAAGGTCATATACAGGTCACGACACTGTTCTCTGTATTTTCCTGTATCTGGTTGGCAGCAAAGATCATGTCAGTGGTGCCACGTGATGGTCTAAACTTCTAAAGCCACATTGAGATTCTTGAAGGAAGTTTTCCACCGCAGGAAGAAGTCTGTTTTGGAGGACTCAGGCAATAATCTTGTCAGCTACAGACAGTAGCCAGATCCCGTGGTAGTTGCCACAGTCTGACCGGTCTCCCTTGTTCTTATAAATATTGATGATGGAGGCGTCTTTAAGAGCTTGGGGGATTTTCTCCTTTTTCCATATATATTCTCCAGGAGAGAGTGGAGACGGCTAGTAAGCAGAGGTCCTCCTGGTTTATAAACCTTGGCTGGGATTCCATCAGACCCGGAGGCTTTGTTATTTTTCATGTGTTTGATGGCAGTAGCTACCTCATCCAGGGATGGAGGCTAGCTGAGATGGGTCAGCTCTGGATGCTGAGGGACCTGCTGGGTAGTCAGGACATCCACATCGGTGTTTCGGTTGAGCAGCGAATGGTAGTGATTTTTCCAGTGCTGACGGACGCCTTCTTCGTCTTTAATTAGGGAGTTACCATCGGATGAGCGGAGGGGAGCTGTGCCATGAGTGATTGGCCCATAAAGTGTTTTAGTGAAATTTAAAAAAAATCGTGCATCTTGTATTGATCTGCAAGTTTTTGCATTTTAAATGCTTTATTTTTAAGCCAGTCGCTCTTTAGTTTGTGAAGTTCTAGCTGGGCTGCCACTTTCTTCATGCGGACGGTATTGGCTTTGTCCTAGACTGAGGGGTATTCTGCCAGTCAGTTAAAGCAGCACGTTTATCATCGACGAGTACATTGATTTCCGGGTCATTTTCACCAAACCAGTCCTGGTGTATTCGTTTGATCTGGCTGAGAGTCTCTCTGCAGGTTTTTGTCATGACAGTGTCAAGAATACTCTCTTTAGCACTGGGATTTGGGTTGTTTGTTGTTGGGTTGCTTATCAGCCCACGTTCGAGCTGCACTCTGAAATCATGTGCAACTGCTGGATCCTCCAGACGCTTGGTGAAGTGAGAGCTTGGCTCTGATGAGCCGGTGATCAGTGCCGCAGTGGTCTGAGCCACGCATTGCTTGGGTGATGAGAACATCTTGGCGATCTCTCTCTCTGACAATGATGTAGTCAATGAGATGCCAGTGTTTGGATCGTGGGTATTGCCATGAACCCTTAAACTTGTCGGCCTGCCTAAACAAAGTATTGTTGATAGTGAGGTTGTGTGCAGCACACTTGCTGAGGAGGAGTAAGCAGTTGGGATTACACTTGCCTAGTCCGTTTCTCCCTATGGTTCCCTGCCAAATGTCAGCGTCTTTGCCAACTCTGGCATTGAAGTCACCAAGGAGCACAACCTTATCTTCTCTAGGGATAGAGGTTAGCACTCTGTCAGGGTCAGCATAAAAGGCCTCCTTGGTGTCATCCTCTGTATCCAGTGTTGGGACGCATGCACTGATGAAAAAGCATGCCGTGAGTGATTCAGTGGGACTCTGAGCGTCATGAGGTGCTTGTTGATCCCAACAGGCATTTCAGCTAGCCTGTGTAGGATGCGTTGGCGGATGGTAAAGCCAACTCCATAAATGCTGTTTCTCTCCGCAGCCGACTTACCCTTCCAGAAGAAGGTATAGCCAGATTCCCGTTCTGTGAGTCGACCCTTGTCTGGGAGCCGGTACTCACCAAGGGCTGCTGTGTCGATATTATATCTAGCCAGTGGTGGGCACGGTTCCGCTAACCGCTAATTAGCGAAGCTAACTTTCTCGTTAGCGGATTAGTGTTTTTGCTAACTTTGGAAACTATGAGCGGACCAATTAGCTTCCGCTAGCTTTAAGTCCGCTAACAAAATTTATACATGTTTGTTCCTGTCTGTTGTAAGCGTGTGACCCCGCAACGCGTGTCTCCAACAGCCAGTCAGGCACGCTTGGCTGACTGCGTGTTAGTATGTGCAAAGATATCTTGAGGGCCAAGAGAGCCACCCTGTCAGATGGCAACTTTGAGAGGCTGTTGTTTATGAAGGGCAACCAGCATCACGTCGAGGCGATGGAGAAGGCCCAGCCACTGCAGCCGGAGTGAATGGAATTTTTCGATTATTAAAGTTTAAAACTTTTTTTTGCAGTAAATAAAGACTGTCAGTGTATGTTGAAAGAATCATAGAATGTAATTGTAAACTAATGTATAATTTAATTTCTCATTTATTTGTTAATTTAATTAGGATTTTTTTGTGTCAATATATTTCGTTATGCTAAGTACTGTACTGCATAAGTTCATAACCAGGATGTCATCCAAGGTGTGCGTCAAACAAAATTTTCTAAAAACTTACTTTTCATTGAAGTTTAGAGTTTTCTGTTTATTTACATGACTAAGACCAAGTATAAGTTATATAAAAAGGCACTGGTAATGAATAAGGCCAATAGGTTGTATGAGAATGCAAATTAATTATTTGTGAAATTGTGTACAGTGTACACCTTGATAAGTTGATCATCATCTGATCTTGGCATGATGCTATTTGCTACCTATGCTATACAGTACAAGTACTATAGTTTTTGGATTCGTTTAATACTTTCTGTCTTTTCGTGCAGTAAATAAAGATTATAAAGTGTTTGTTGAAACTTGAATGCAAACTAATGTTTAATTTCATTTGTTCATTAATTATTTGTGTACACCTTGATCATCATCTGATCTTGGCATGCTACACCTTTTTGGAAAGCTCTATGTCTAAGCTACAAGACAATATATGAAAATTTCAGCTCTCTAGGTCTGTTTTTAAGGGTTTTAGAGCCCCCCCCCACCCCCAAAAAAAAGAAGCTAAATTCATACAATAAAAGTTAGCGGTTAGCGTTAGCTTCCGCTAATTTTTTTAGCTGTTTAGCGTTAGCGAAGTTAACTTTTTAGTTAGCGGATTAGCGGTTAGCGAAGCTAACTTTTCGTTTACCCGGTAGCTGTGCCCACCACTATCTAGCCAGCTCTTTTGCCACAAGGGGGGTTCTTCTGTCAGAATGTGAATTGGTGCCAGTATCCAGAAGAGTCCTGACATTCCATGCAGCGACCATAAGAGGTTGTATAGTTTGTTTTTGTTTTGATCTGTGATTATACGTAATTGTATTTTCGACCGCATACGGATGACCTTGCTAGGTACGGTTGTCCAGTCAGGTTGGTTCTTTAGGCAGGCTATATTTAGGGCACCTTTTTTTAGCCCCCTTCCCATGTGGGGTGAGCAGAGTGGCTCCTCGAAAGGGCTGCTCAGTCACACAGACAGGACCGGATTGCACTGCTGTCTAGATCCCAGTGCATAAACGACCATCTTATCTGTGACACCATGCAGAGTTGTGACTAGAGACTCCCGGCAGTCATCTCTGCCTGTCCCCATTGCCACTCGTCCGTCGCCATAGGACTTTTAGGGTATAAGGGTTTAATGATGATGAGTATGATAAGCTGGATGATGGCTGCACGTGAGTTGATTTATGTGATGAGGCAGGAGCGCAGACTGCAACCACACATCTTGACTCTCCCTTTTCCTGATCCAGTGGTGCAAGTGTTGCAACAACTGGGGAGAGGGAGAGTTACATTGGACTGCCGATAGCCCAGTTTGTTCGGTTTCGCCTTAGTAGCCTGTCCATCATGCATTGCCTTCTTCCGCCGGTGTAGTCGTTGGGTTCCCATGTTAGTCACTTCTTCCACCTATACTGCCATTGGCATCTTGTTGGAGTTCTGTAAGCAAGTCTGCCTGATGCGGGGCTCCACCACAGGTTTTTTGTTGGGGGTTTATTTCCGTAGTCTTACACCTACCCAGGTTAATCCGGAAGGCAGCGGGGCAGTGGTTGGCAGGCGCCAGGACGTGTCCACATGCCACTGGCATGCCTATGTGCCATCCCTCTGGGGCCCCTGCTGGTCTAGCCTGGGCCCACGAGGCACCCAGTTACCGTGTGTTGTCACGCGTAGGCGCAACAGGAGTCTTGATGGTGAAGAAGCTGTGTACTGGTGGGGAATACTTATGCAAGTTGCTTCCCTGTTTGCCACAAGGGCTAGCCAGCGGCGGTAGCTGTAAGCGAGAGGACGAGAGGAAGCAAGCAGTGCTTGCACTTTAACACTAACATAATGCTGCCACACTGGATGCATTACACCACCCTGTGTGCACACAGTATTTTTCCATTATTATTTATTTGTATGTGTTGTGTGTGTGTGTGTGTGTGTGTGTGTGTGTGTGTGTCTACACACACACACACACACACACACATACACATACAATACAGGTAAAAGAAATAATTTTCCTAAGAACAAACACATAAAGGGAGTGCAGTATACATTTCTTTGTACACAACTAAAAATGTAATCCCCCTCCCTGTAATGTCCTCTGTGAATTGGCACTTTTTTTTTTTTTTTTTTTTTTTCAGAACCTAACCCATGCCAATTTGAAGGGCATGCTGTAGTTTATAATGATTCGGTTAAGATTAACTGTAAAACTGCATAAGGAAGATTAGCACAAGATGACAGACAACGCATCAACAGAACTAAGGAATTCCTCAGTGTTAAGGCTCCTTTAGCCTTATTAATTAATGACATTTTAGCTCTCATCCCGAGGGAGAAAAGGGTTACCTATTGTATTTGCTTGAACAGTGTATATTTCATAGCTTTACCGAATGGGGTAAAATTCCTTACTAGCATTTTAGACTTAATGAGGTTTAAAGTTTATCAATGCGTGAAGTGTAGTACATGACACACCAACACCTTGCAGTACAAAGTGTCCCTTACTTCGTCATCAGTATAGTTGAGGAAGTAGTAGGGGTCGTCCTCGAGGATAATGATGTTATAGTCACTGGCGATGGCATAGATTTCACGTCGCCGGGCTTCACTCACCACTGCACCATTGGGGTTACTCCCAATTGGAACCGTGTAGAGAATCTGTAAGCAAACATCTGTTGGATCACCTGGAAATTAGGTATCCTTGCTTATATCACTTGATGATTGAACTGCATAATGCTACCTCGGGGTTATGTTATCTTTAAGGTAGTTAATTTTAAGGTGAAAGCAGCTGGAGGAGCTAGTCTTCAGGTGATCCTAAAATAATTAGCCTACATGGGATACAATCCAGTACTTCATCTTGTGAGGGTTAGAATGACCTGTACCAGCATATACGTGGCGCTTCATCCAGCTATGTTTTTTACTCCACCACCGAGGGGGACATATAGAAGTGTCTGTCTGTCTGTTCTTTGGTAAGTCCATGATCAAAAGTTCATATAGTTGTTATCAATCTTGGGTACAGCAGTACCCTGTAGCAGGAGGACTCACCTTGGGTACATCAGTAGCAGGAGGACTCGCCTTGGGTACAGTAGTAGCAGGAGGACTCACCTTGGGTATAGCAGTAGCAGGAGGACTCACCTTGGGTACAGTAGTAGCAGGAGGACTCACCTTGGGTATAGCAGTAGCAGGAGGACTCACCTTGAGTACAGCAGTAGCAGGAGGACTCACCTTGGGTACAGCAGTAGCAGGAGGACTCACCTTGGGTACAGCAGTAGCAGGAGGACTCACCTTGGGTACAGCAGTAGCAGGAGGACTCACCTTGGGCACAGCAGTAGTAGTGTGACACACATCTTCTGGCCTCCAGCGGGAGAGTAAAGCCCTCAGAGCATCTGGCCTCATGCCTAAGTTGTCAACAGCCACTGGTAACCACTTGGGCAGAAACTGCTGAAACTGCCCATACCATCATTAGCATTTCAGGACATATAGTTTATAGCTTATGGTAGCTTATAAATCCAATAGAGTTTTAGCATCAAAATGATCCTAACAGTATTACGATATTTTCATTAGGAGTTTCACATACATACACTCACAACTAATGCTTTCATTTTATCATGATGTAATAGTACTACTCTGAAGTATTGTGACCCTTAAAAGATCCCCATATTATGTGTGGTAAACAAAACACTTGGTTGCTACATCCAAGCTTTACTTGACTCATTTCACTACATATCTGAAATAACACAAAAGCATATGTTGCAACAATTCCAAGAGGAAACAACAATGAACATAATATAACATGGTGGTTTTATCCTAATAATGAAATAAACTAAAATGA